TTGTAACCGCGTCGTGAGTACTAACTTGCAACCATTATTTCCATCTAGAATAGGAATTCCAACATCTTCTAGACAAAATTGCTGCCACACATCATCTAGAATTAGCACAGAGTTGCCTTGCCTCAACCTTTGTGAAATCAATCTTGCAAGCTTGGTTTCATTCTCATGATCCTCGGGCTTCAGTTCTAATCCCAAGCCACTTGCAATCCTTTTTTGAAACTTGAGAATATCAAACTTCTTTTTTTGCTGGACAATAATGTCAAAGTTTCTTGACACTTTTACCCAAATAACTTTGTTAAATTTGGGTTCTTTCAAGAGTTGGTTGTGAACTTGCTTCATAATTGTTGTCTTGCCCACACCGCCCATTCCTGAAACTGCAATTCTTGTAACCTCATCTCCCTTCAACCATTCTAGAATTTGATCTTGTATATCATCCCTACCCCTGCCTTCTTCAACAAGTAATGGAACTCCTTTGATAATTCCTTCAAATTTGCTCCATTTAGTATGTGTCGACTTCCATAAACATCCTCTCATAGTTTTGGCTTCCGTCACAATAGCAAGGGGTACTCCATTACATTTTTGCAAAATTTGCTTCAAAAATGGATCTATATCTCTTTTAATTCTGCCATCTGACAACACAGCACTTCCAACTTTCTTCTTGAATAATGCTAATGCTTCTTTAGGTGGAAGAGGATTCACGGGGATCACCTCACACTCCATCGCATGCGCAACATCTTCTAACTGCGTCGTGAGTACTAACTTGCAACCATTATTTCCATCTAGAATAGGAATTCCAACATCTTCTAGACAAAATGGCTGCCACACATCATCTAGAATTAGCACAGAGTTGCCCTGCCTCAACTTTTGTGAAATCAATCCTGCAAGCTTGGTTTCATTCTCATGATCCTCGGGCTTCAGTTCTAATCCCAAGCTACTTGCAATCCTTTTCTGAAACTTGAGAATGTCAAACTTCTCTTCTTGCTGGACAAAAATGTTTAAGTCTTTTGACACTTTTACCCAAAAAACCTTGTTAAATTTGGGTTCTTTCAAGAGTTGGTTGTGGACTTGCTTCATAATTGTTGTCTTGCCCACACCACCCATTCCCAAAACTGCAATTCTTGTAACCTCATTTCCCTTCAACCATTCCAGAATTTGACCTTGTATATCTTCCCTGCCCCTGCATTCTTCAACAAGTAGTGGAACTCCTTTGATTGAGTGATCATCTATGACCAAACTCACAGCAGCATTAGTAAATTCTTTTCCTTCCTCAAGCATTTGCTTCAATTCTTCAGTGTTTTTCTCGAGGTTGGTTGATAAGGAACATTCCCTTTGACTGATCAGATCTTCAACCTTGATGGCAATCTGTTGGCCTGCTTTCTCCATCCACTCTTCAACTTCCTTCCTTGCAATCTTTCCTAGTTGCATACACTGAGTCTTCAAATTTGCTTCAATGTGTTCCTTTTGGTGCTTTAGCCTCTGTTGTTTTTCTCTGAATACAGTTGCACAATGCTCGATTGAGTGATCATCTACAACAAAACTCTCACCAGCATTTGTGTATTTTTCTCCTTGCTTAAATATTCCTTCATTCAGTAATTGAGTTCTTTTATCAAGCTTTCTTGAGGAGCAAATATATGTGAAACAGCCCCCTTTGCAGACTAGATCTTCAACCACATTTTCTGCAGTTTCTTGTTCTGCTTTCTCTAGCCAAGCTTCAACTTCCTGCTTTGCAATCTTCCCAGGCTGCATAAGCTGAGCATGCAATCCTTTTTCAACATCTCGCCGTCGATGCTTCAGCTGTGTTTGCATTTCTTTGAATTCATTGACATAATCATTGTGACATATCTGATACTTGACATATTTCTTAACTGTAGGTACAACATCCTTCACAATACCCGCGATTGGTTCTATGGCGTCCATTAGAGAGTTCCTGCATTTATGAAATTGTTGGATATAAGCTAATTATGCCTTAAATGAAAGAAGGATAAGAATAAAACTGTTTAGGAGAAAAACAACTCGAGTTGGAAATTAATGGTGGAAGTATCATGAATGACTAATTTATTTGGTTTTTATAAATTTAGTAATTATAGAAATTAAAAATTTATTTTTAAAAAATTTTAACACTGATAATAAAAAAGTATGAACTTGTTTAATAGTATTAAAATTATTTTTATTCTTTTTCTCAATAATCTTACTAATAATTTTTTGTCCAAAGTTGCAAAATTTATAAAAATCAAAATAAAAAACTAAAAATCACAATCATATTAAACTAAGTTTAAATAAATTATAACTTTATTTATCAGTGTTGTATTGAATTATGTTATAACCATTTGTTTTATTGTTTTATAAAATTTTCAAAAGTATAGAAGATATTAATTAAAATTAATAAAAACATATAAAATAATTAAAAATAATAAATTTATATTTTTAAATAAATTAATATAAAAATGTATGTAAAGGGTATACATATACAAAGTCTATATATGTTAAATCAAATTAAGTTAGAAATTAAAGATAGGGGGTTGGGAGTTCAACTCCCAACAACTATTTAAAAATTTTCATCCCTTCTCTCAAAATTTCCTATATTTGAAAAAAAGAAAAATGAAAAAAGAAAAAAGAGAATACGTTAGATTGATAGAACCGTAGAGGTAGACATGCATGCATAATCAAATCAAGTTGGCATGATATCTTATTGTTCCCAACGGACTAATTGACTTGTCACAATTTTTAAAATGATGCGGAGCAAATATATGATCCTTGTTTCAATAGTGGAATTTGTGAAGTTTAGCTGTTAAGGTAAGATTGTTAAAGGTAAAATTTCTAAATTTACTCGAATGTTTTGTAAGAGAAATAAATTTATTCTCAAATTAAAAAAACAAACCACCCCTACAATCCTCTTCAATTAGATAAATTACTTAAAATTTAATCCATAACGCCACGTCACTGTAAGCAATATGCTAACTCCAAACTTAGCTGCCTAACTTTTGCACGCTGAACGCTTGCAGTGGTTCCCTTTCCACCACCGTGGCACTTTCTCCTCTTTTTTCATCTCCATATCATTTGGGCCCTACTAAAAAGGCTGCCTTTCCCCCTCTTCTTATTTTAATGTCGCTTTACGAAGGGAAATTGAGACCCCGTTGGGTGTAGTTTGTGGAAAAGATTTTATTTACTTTAAAAAGGATAAATTACATCAAATATTATAATTTATAAAAAATATTATAATTTTTTATAAATTAATTTTTTATTTTATTATAAATTTTAAAATTATTAAATTGATGTTTATGTGGGGGTTAATTTTAATAAAATTAATGTATTTTTT